GGTCCACCCTGCCTGGGTGTCTGTGGCCACCCACTAGTGAGTGAGTAGCTTTCTCAGTGATCAGGTAGGTGACCAGGTTGACAGTCATGGTATCACAATGCTTGTGTTCAGGTCACCCTTAGTTTACTGAATAATGGCACCAAATGACCAGAGTAGTGAGGCTGCCCATTTTGTTATGCCAAAGAGAAGCCAGCCATCGAGTGCTTCTTTTAAGTGAAGAGGTGAAAATCTTCCACTTAATGGAGACAGAAAACACCTGAAACATAGCTGAGGTTGCTAATATCTATGGGAAGAACAAACCTTCTGTTCATGAAATGATAAAAGGAAAAGAAACTCGGGCTGGTTTTTGCTGTGGCCCCTCAACCTTATCATAGGCAGGGACGTCCAGGAAGAAAACAGAGTGGTTAGACTTGCATACTGTCTGCGGCCTCAAGGTATCTACTCTGCGTCTTGGAATGTAAATTATATTAAAAAATCGAACATCTTGAAGAATAGCTTAATGCATAAAAGCTTGGAGGCCAATGCAGTACTAAATTCATGCCATGGTCAAAGGACCATCTAGCTCTGTAACGTTATTTTTTTCTTTTATATTTAAAACTTTGGTCTACCAAGAAATGTATTCCCATTGTCTTTGTGCTACAGAAAATGGTTTGACATGAAAGGAAGGAGGAGCAAATTTGTGATTGGGAAACCAGAGGACAGAACGAACAGTGATACCTTTATCCAAGCAGCGCCATGACAACAAGAACACAGTTTTACTCCAAATTTCTTTGCAAGAAGAGAGTGTGTTAAAGATAGCTCTTCTGTTCCATTAGTGTCTTGTTTCTAGCCTGTGGTTGCTGGCATAACTTGGCTTTAAATTATGCTCTGCCTTGGAGTTTCTCTCTCAGTTTAGTGTTTGAAAAGTCTTTGTTTATTCATGATGGCTTGCTCTGACTTACAACTCACTCCCTAGACAATAAGCTCCATTTTTAATAAATAAAGCCATGGTTTTGAGCTCTGTTGCAACTTGTCCAGAGGAAATTGCAACTTGTCAAGAGGAAATTTTCCTCGATTTCCTTTACAGTTGGAATAAGTGACAATGGAATTTGATGAGTTTATTAGATTTCAGTAATTTGATAAGTACAAAATTTGGTCATCTGCCCTAAGTTCATGCTGCCTTGCTTATTAATCTTTAGATTTAGCATCATATTTCACTTATGAAATATTGCTGTTGTTACTGTAATAATACTGGTTATATAGTATTATATAGTAGTAATAGTATTACTATTAATAGTAGTAGTTATATTACTATTCAGACATTTCTGTGACATAAACTTAATGGTGCAGAAAAGATGCATTTATCTTTTTAACTGGGCTCAAAAAGGTGACACACACTAAAGGTAGTGATAATTGCCACCCTGTCATGCTTTTACTTTTTTATTTTGCAGTTTGGCCAGAGTTGGGTTTGAACCCACTACCTCTGGCGTATGGGGCTGGCGCCCTACTCCTTGAGCCATAGGCACCGCCCAACACCCTGTCATGCTTTTAATACATGATGTGGATAACAACTTTGCAGTATTGGTCTTTTAAAATTTGACATTGTGTCCAGTTATTTTGGCTATTTTACATATTACTACCAAGAGTATCAAACTGATAATCACCCTTAGAAATGATCTCACCTATTAGTTTTATTTCCCTTTTTTTTTGAGACAGAGCCTCAAGCTGTCGCCCTAAGTAAAATGCCGTGATGTCACAGCTCACAGCAACCTCCAACTACTGGGCTTGAGTAATTCTCCTGCCTCTGCGTCCCAAGTAGCTGGGACTACAGGCGCCCACCACAACACCCAGCTATTTTTTGGTTGTAGCCATCATTGTTGTTTGGCGGGCCCGGGCTGGATTCGAACCTGCCAGCTCAGGTGTATGTGGCAGGCGCCTTTGCCACTTGAGCCACAGGCGCTGAGCCTATCAGTCTTATTTCCTAGAAGAGATCTCTTTTCTGAACACAATCTTAAATGGTACATAGAACATAAGACATATTTTTAAAAGTAATGTTTGAGGAGTGTTAAGTTTTGTACTCTGTCAGTATAACTTACAGAGTTAATTAATGGGGCATAAAAAGACACTTTGGAATAGCAAAAGGACTTAGTTTAAATGGACCTTGGTCTGCACCTTATCTCTGTTTTATGTGTAAAATATTTGAAAACCCTGTGAGTTACATAGATGAGTAGCTGCAAGTGGTTAGCAGTTTATATTGGTTTATTTTACAAGGTTCACCCTAATCCTTAGAAAACTTCAGTTTACAGAGATAGCAAGAACAGTTTTATTTTCTAGGACCACAGGAAAGTTAATTTTGCTACACAAGTTAATGAATTATTTCCCTGCATTGTGTTAAAACCTGGTGTGTAACTCTTGAACTTGAGTGTTACTTGTCATCATAGCTAGTTGTTCAAGGTAAATCAAATCAAATATTGGCAGAATTCCAGAACTCTGCAGAAAACACTGTTTAAAAACTACTAATCAGGCTCAGTGCCCATAACTCAGTGGTTAGGGTGCTGGCCACATGGACCTGGGCTGGTAGGTTCATCAACAACAATAACAAAAAAATAGCCGGGCATTGTGGTGGGCACTTGTAGTCTCAGCTATTTGGAAAGTTGAGGCAAGAGAATCATTTAAGTCCAAGAGCTTGAGGTTCCTGTGAGCTGTGATGTCACAGCACTCTACCCAGGGCAACAACTTGAGACTCAATCTCAAAAAAAAAATAAAAGAAAGGGCTCAGTGCCTGTGGCTCAAGCAGCTAAGGTGTCAGCCACATACACCTGAGCTGGCAGGTTCGAATCCAACCCAGGCCCACCAAACAACAATGATGGCTGCAACCAAAAAATAGCCAGGCATTCTGGCGGGTGCCTCTAGTCCCAGCTACTTGGGAGGCAGAGGCAGGAGACTCGTTTGAGCTCAGGAGTTGGAGGTTGCTGTGAGTTATGATGTTACGGTACTCTACCCAGAGCGACAGCTTGAGGCTCTGTCTCAAAAAAAAAAAAAAAAAGAAAGAAAGAAAGAAAGAAAGCAAAATTGCTACTCATGCTTTATGCAACATTGTCTTTATGGCATTATAGATTCTGGTTGTACTATTTATTTTAAAAACTATCAAATGTTGGAGAAAATGTGAAAATATTTTGCATTATAAAGGGTTAGATTGGTGAGTTCTCATTTAAAAGGTGTTCTGGAAGTTTCAGAACTTTAAAGAAAAATCTGTTTCTGTCAACAACACAAGTAGTTGCCAGCTCCAGACAACAAGTTGTTTAACCTGCAGGTAACTGAAGCGGCATTATTTGACTGCATTTTTTTAGTTAGCTTGGCATTCTGTTAGAGCCTAATTTTTATCTGATTTGCAGGTCTGAGTTGGAAACTTTCTGTATCCACTCCCGCTGTGAGGTAGCAAAGGAAAATGAAGATTTTTTTTATTCCCTGGCTTATTTAAAATTAGTCTAATATTTTTATTCCTCCACTGAAGTGACACTGTCTCTTCTATGAGAAAGAATCATAGATTCTAATGTTAGAAAGACACTCTGAAGATGCCCTAGTTTAGTTCTGTGTTTGTAGGTGAATGGTTTTGTAAAGCTGTGCAGAGAAAACTTTTCCAAAACCGAGCACATTTTGTGTTCCTTTAGAAAACTGGATATTTAAAGGAACTCTGTGGCTAATCTTTTGTGAGGCACCTGCTCCTTTGTGTGTCTAGCTTTAAAGAGCCATTAGAACTTTTCTTAGAGCAGTTTCCCACTGATGAGAGTGGTCAGTGCAGTAGTTCCCTTAGAAGAAAATCCTAGTCTCCATACAGCCCATGTCCCTAGGCCCTGCAGTCCAGGGTACCATGGCCCCTGGATACCTATCACTTGGTTGTGCCAGGCATTCCTCTGTGGACTGGCAGACATCTTGGTTGTACCAGGTATTCCCCTGGGGACCGAGTGGCACCTGGCTTCCTGTTAAATTCCATGCGGCATTTATAGGCTGTTTGGCATCAAAATTAAGTTGAGAACTAAAAATAAAAGGAGAGCATTGTAATTCATGGTCTCTTGTGTCACTTCCAGCTGATGAGCCTAGGAGAAAAAACATGGCATAAGAATTGCTTGGGTCTTGCTCTGTCACACAGGCTGAAGTGCAGATACGATCACAGCTCAATGTAACCTCAAACTTCTGGGCTCAAGCAATCCTCCCACCTTACCTTTTAAGATAACTAGGACTATTTTTTGTAGAAACACAGGATATTGCTGTGTTTTGCAGGCTGATCTTGAGCTCCTGACCTCAAGCAATCTTCCTTCGTTGGCTTCCCAAAGCTCTGGGATTATAGGAGTGAGCCACTGTGCCTGGTCTGTATTTTTTTTTTGAGACAGAGTCTCACTTTGTCACCCTTTGTAGAGTGCTATGGCATCATAGCTCACAACAATGTCCAACTCTTGGGCTCAAGAGATTGTTTTGCTTCAGCCTCCTGAGTAGCTGGGACTGCCGGTGCCTGCTACTACGCCCAACTGTATTTTAGAGACAAGGTCTTAAACCTGTGAGCTCAGGCAATCCATCTACCTCAGCCTTCCAGAGTGCTTGGATTACAGCTGGCCTTTTTTTTTTTAATATGGAATAACATAATCAATTCTTTTGTATCAGAAATTATAGAATAGTAATTAAGACACTGGGTTAATATTCCAAGTCCACTGCTTACTTGCATCACATTATAGTAGGAATAATACATTTATTCTAAACTTCAATTTACTATGAGTAAAGTGGAGTTAATGATAGTATCTACCTTATAGGGTTGTGACCTCTGAAGATAATACATTCAAAGTGTTTTAATAGGTATGTAGCAGGTGCTTTAATAATTCTTAGTTGTATTTAATATCATATCCGTTATTAATATTATTATTTTAAAATCTGTATTTTTTCAGTATTACTGAAAACAATTAAGTGAAGAAGAGTAAAAATTCTGGTTTTTAATGGCCCTTCTGCCCTCTCCGCCTTTACCTCCGCAGAATGTGATAAGTTGCGGCACGATGGCTACCGAAGTTCTCAGTACTATTCTCAGGGACCCACCTTTGCGGCCAACTCCAGCCCAGTCTGTGATGATTATCAAGATGAAGATGAAGAAACAGATCAAAAGGTAAGGCTTCCAAGTTCAACACGCAGCCCTGGATGGATCCCAGAGCAGAGAAATGGCACATGTGGGGGAAAAAACTGGTGAAATCAGAATAAAGTCTATGTTTAGGTAATAGTATTGTCCCAAGTTAATTGGTTGGTTTTAACAAACATACCATGATTACGTAAGATACCACGAAGAAACTGGATGGAGGGCATACAAGGAACTGTCAGTACTATCTTTGCATCTTTTCTGCAAATATAAAATAATTCTAATTGAAAAAAGCAAAGTGAGAATCCAAGCAATTCCTTTAAAGAGACATAAAATGAGGATATTTGTCCATTTCAAATATTCTCTTTTGGTTGGAAAAAATAAAGATCTTATTTCTGTGGCTTTGTTTTTCATATGACCAAGAACCAAGTTATATCATAAAGAAGAACTTTAAGTATAGTAGCAAAAGCCACTGTTTCACAGTGATCAGTGTTTTCAATGCAAATTGAACATAAGCAATTCTTTTAGTTACTATTAGTGCATTGGCCAATTTCTTTAGTGACATCTAACATTGGTAGTTTCCTTTTTCTTTCCCATCTCCTCTGATATGCACAAACTACTTAAGAGAAGTGTAATTTCTCCGTACTAAATGCATATAAGAGAATAAAAATGTATGGAGATTTTGATTGATGTAGTTAGATTTTTATTTTATTGAGCAATGTGGACTGACACTAGAATTACTTAAATAAGATTTGATGAATAACATTTCATGTAAAAACCATTTTTAATTCATCTAAAAACTTTTAGTGGAATTAGTTCCATACATAAAGGCCTTATTAAAAACCATCATTCAGAATTTATTATCCTTTTCATCAAATAGGTAACTTTACAGAACAAAGTAAGATAATTGTTGATCAAGAAATGGGAAATTACTATCTTAATTTTTTTTTTTTTTGGAGGCAGAGTCTTACTTTGTCTCCCTCAGTAGAGTGCTGTAGCATCACAGCTCACAGGAACCTCCAGGTCTTGGGGTTAGGCGATTCTCTTGCCTCAGCCTCCCAAGTAGCTGGAACTACAGGCGCCTGCCACAGTGCCCAGCTAGTTTCTTTTTGCAGTTGGTGGGGGCTTGGTTTGAACCCACCACCCTTGGTATATGAGGCTGGAGCCCTACTCAGTAAGCCACAGGCACCACCTTTAGTTTTGGTTTTCAAATAGTTGACATCATAATTATATACATTTATGGGATACAATGTGACATTTTTGATAATATATATATTGTAGAATAATTAATTGTAGAATATATAATTGTAGAATAATTAATTGAAGCTAATTAATATATCTATCACCTCTGTTATCTATTATTTTTTATGGCAGAACATTTGAAATTTACTCAGTTATTTTGAAATGTATAATGCATTATTATTGACTGTGTAGTAGATCTGAAAACTTATTCCTTCCATCTCTGTTAAACATTGTACTCCCTTTTTTTTTTGAGACAGAGTCTCATGCCACCCTCAGTAGAGTGCGGTGGCATCAAAGCTCACAGCAACCTCTAACGTTTGGGCTTAAGTGATTCTCTTGCCTCTGCCTCCCAAGTAGCCATAACGCCTGGCTAGTTTTTTGTTGCAGTTGTCATTGTTGTTTAGCAGGCCCAGGCCAGGTTTGAGCCTACGTGTATGTGGCCAGCGCCCTACTCACTGAGCTACTGAGCTACAGGCGCCGGCCGAAACATTGTACCCTGTGATCAACAACTCCATCCATAGTCCTTCCCTCCCCACTCAATTTTTTTTTTTTTTTTTGCAGTTTTTGGCTAGGACCAGATTTGAACCCGCCACCTCCAGTATATGGGGCCAGTGCCCAACTTCTTGAGCCATGGGTCCCACCCCCAAACCCAAATTTTTATTACAGAATGTTTTTCTTATTTCTTTAAAGGTAATCTTTTTTTTTTTTTTGAGTCAGAGCCTTAAGCTGTCCCCCTGGGTAGAGTGCCATGGCATTACAGCTCACAGAAACCTCCAACTCCTGGGCTCAAGCGAGTCTCCTGCCTCCGCCTCCCAAGTAGCTGGGACCACAGGCGCCAGCCACAACGCCCGGCTATTTTTTGGTTGCAGCCGTCATTGTTGTTTGGCGGGTCCGGGCTGGGGATTCGAACCCGCCACCTTAGGTGTACATGGTTGGCGCCTTAGCCGGTTGAGCTATAGGCGCTGAGCCCAGGTAATCTTTATATATGAGGTTTGTCCTTTGACTTTGAGCATACAAAGACAATATCTCACCTTAATGGGAAAAGCAGCTGTTATAAAATGAGTCTAATCTTTAATTTTGAAAACTTTTTTCTCTTGATGGTATGGATAGGGCAAGTGAAAATCAGAAGGTGAATTGTATAGTGAGACTTTGTTTATCCAGCTATACCTCAGCCTTACACTAATGCTCAGAGAAGAAAGAAAAGTTTATAATGGCTCAGTGTCCGTAGCTCGGTGAGTAGGGAGCCAGCCACATACACCGAGGCTGGTGGGTTCAAGTCCAGTCCGGGCCTGCTAAACAATAATGACAACTGCAACCAAAAAATAGCCTGGCCATCATGGAAGGCACCTGTAGTCCCAGCTACTCAGGAGGCTGAGGCAAGAGAATTGCTTAAGCCCAAGAGTTTGAGGTTGCTGTGAGATGTAATGCCCCTGCACTCTACCAAGGGTGACAAAGTGAGACTCTATCTCAAAAAAAAAAGAAGTTTATAATGGGGCCCAGTAAGACAGAGATGATTTCTGAGAACAGTATGATTGTACAAGTTGTGAGTATGAAGCAGTATAGCGTCCCTATATCCCAAGATCTTCTGGAAAATGGAAAAATAGGGTTTTTTTGTTTTTTTATTGCCTAGAAAAATAGTTTCTAAGTTCTTACATTGCTCTTTTAGCTATTGTGACATTCAACTCTGTAGGAAGTTAAGCCTCTGTGAGCTCATCCATTCAGCAATTTATTGAATAATTACTGCTAAGTGGGCGGTGCCTGCTGCTCAGAGGAGTAGGGCACCAGCCCCATATGCCGGAGGTGGCGGGTTCAAACCCAGCCCCGGCCATAAGAAATAATAGTAAGAATTACTGCTAAGTGAACTTTGGCCCTAAATCAGAGTCTTCGTTAATCTTTGAGCCCTTACTGACAATCTCTAGATCATGGTGAAGCATTCTTGCAGCCGAGCTGTACAGCCACAGTGACCATCATTTGAGACCCAGATTCATTTCTCAACGTGTTACAAAAAAGAGCTCCTTAAGCATAGAATTATAATTTATTTGTGAAATGAATTAAGCACCTCCTGTGTGCCAGGGAGTGTTTTAGGTATTAGTGATGTGACAGTGAACCACACAGAAGAAAGCCCTGCCCTCAATGGGGCTTAATTTCACGGGAGACACTAGGAACAAATATAGTCCCTGTTGCCAGGGATGTGTGCTGAGAGGTGCACTGGGAGGTGACTTCATCGTGTGCGTACGTCATAGAGCCTGTCTACACATATCCAAGTGGTGCAGCCTCCCCAGGCCGAGGCTAGATGGGACAGCTCATTGCTCCCAGACTGCAAACCTCTACAGTAGGTTACTGTGCTGTGGGCACACACAATTACTGTGCTGTGGGCAACACAACAATACTGTGTTTCCCCGAAAATAAGACACCTTATATTTATTTTTTCTCACGAAGACACATTAGAGCTTATTTTCAGGGAATGTCTTATTTTTATTAAGTATAATACAACAATCTACATTTATTCAAATACAGTTAAGTCGTCATCTTCTGGAACCTCACGGGGGAGCCGACCTTGTTGGTGGGGCTGGCGCTAGTGATGTGTGAACTCCTTTCCCCTAGCCGTTTGCACGTGTGATAGGATGCCTGCGACCACGGTTACCACACGTGCACAGGCTAAAGTGTGAACGGCTTGGAGAAGGGAGCTGTGGCAGATGAAAGGTATTCCAGTCTTCCTTACCACTCTGCACTGAAATGCATGGTGTATCTGCACAGCCACACCCATCACTAGGTCTTATTATCAGGGTAGGGCTTATATTTAACAAATGCATAGAAATCCTGCGAGGGCTTATTTTTTGAGTAGGTATTATTTTTGGGGAAACATGGTATGTATTTGTGTATCTAAACATAGGAAAGACATAGGGAAAATATGGCATAATAATTTAAAAACAGTGCACCTGTATAGGGCATGTATCATGAATGGAGCCTACGGGACTGGAAGTTGCTCTGAGCAATTCATTGAGTTACTGCCGAGTGAATGTGAAGGCCTAGAACATTACAGTGCCTCCTGGAGACTTTATAAACACTGGGGACTTAGGTTACACTAAATTTATAAAGGTATTTTCTTTCTTCATTAATAAATTAACCTTAACTTTTATAACTTTTTAACTTTATAAGCTTTTAAAACTGTTTAACTTTATGATTCGTGTAATAACTTAGTTTTAAAACATACTATACAGGGGTGGTGCCTGTGGCTCAAAGGAGTAAGGTGCTGGCCCCATATGCCAGAGGTGGCAGGTTCAAACCCAGCCCCAGCCAGTAACTGCAAAAAATAAATAAATAAATAAAAATACTATACAGCTGTATAAAAATATTTGCTTTCTTTACCTTTTTTCTTACAAGCTTTTTTTTTTTTTTAACTTTTAATCTTTTTGGTTGAAAAGGAAGGCACAAACACATACATTAGCCTAAGCCTACACAGGGTCAGAATCACCCTTCTCACTATCTTTCACCCCTACATCTTGTCCCACTGGAAGGTCTTCAGGGGTGGTGACATGCACGAAGTTGTCATCTCATCTGCTATAAGAACACCTTTTTCTGGAATATCTCCTGAAGGATCTGCTTGAGGCTAATTTTTTTTTTTTTTGAGACAGAGCCTCAAGCTGTCCCCCTTGTTAGAGTGCTGTGGCATCCAGCTAACAGCAACCTCCAACTCCTGGGCTCAAGCGAGTCTCCTGCCTCAGCCTCCCAAGTAGCTGCAACCACCACAACACCTGGCTATTTTGTGGTTGCAGCCATCATTATTGTTT